AGGAAAAAAAAAAAAAAAAAAAAAGAGAAGTTCCTTCCGGAGTAATATCCAGCATATATTTTCTCCTCCTCTTCTTCTTTTCCCTTTCATCCTTTGGATCCTTCTGCTTTGTCGTCAATAGCTGTGCTTCCATTTTGCCTTCTTCAATTCCCAACCAGCAGTGCTGTGTGGCCTCTCTCCCCTTCCACCTCCTACCTTTTATAATCCTCCATTCCTCCAGCTAGCTGGATTCTACTTTTATTTCAACTAGTCGCGATCGTCTGACAGTTCTTGTAAAGCACCATGTCCGCCGAGCACAACGCAGCCCTTGAGAAGGACGTCGGTCCGGACAACACCATCAATGGCTCTCCTGAGAATGCCACTGCTCCGCAGCTTACCTCGCAGATGACCCACGAGGAGCACGAAGTGGCCAAGGCCGCCGCTCGCTTTGGCTATGGTCCTCTGGCCAAGCCCAATCCCACCGAGTACAATCTCCCTCCCTTCGGAGGAGAGTTCCAGCCCGGTCTGTACAAGTCGGTCGAGAAGCGCAAGTTTGCCAACCCTGCTCCTCTGGGTCTGTGTGCTTTCGCCCTCACCACGTTTGTGCTGAGCTGCATCAACATGGGTGCTCGCGACATCACCGCTCCCAACATCGTCGTCGCTCTGGCTTTCGGTTATGGTGGTCTCGTTCAGTTGCTTGCCGGCATGTGGTATGTTTCACTTGTCCTCTTTGGAGCTCGAGCTCCTTGATAGCATCTTGTTGTCGCGGCCGCTGACGTAGTTTTCAGGGAAATGGCTGTTGGTAACACTTTTGGTGCCACTGCTCTGTCCTCTTATGGTGGTTTCTGGATCTCCTTCGCTATTGTCTTGACCCCCGGTGGTTTCAACATCGAGTCGGCTCTCGTCAAGGCCGACAATGGCAGCACTTCCATGTTTGACAACTCTTTCGGTCTGTTCCTGATGGTGAGTTCTTCTGAATCGGTTTCTGTCCTCTGTCGGCGACCGCAGCTAACAATCCGCAGGGCTGGTTCATCTTCACCACCATCCTGCTGTTCTGCACCCTGAGATCCACCGTGGCTTTCTTCCTGCTGTTCTTCTGGCTCGATCTCGCCTTCCTCCTGCTGGGTATCGGCTACATCCAGCGCGACAGCGCGGGCAAGCCCAACCCTCCCGTCATCAAAGCCGGTGGTTTCTTCGGCCTCCTGGCTGCCTTCACCGCCTGGTACAACGCTCTGGCCGGTATTGCCGACAGCAGCAACAGCTTCTTCGTCATCCCCGTCGCCCACTTCCCGTGGTCTCCTACCGGACAGGCCCGGAGAACCAAGACCGAGCGCGAGACCGTCTAAGCGCGATCATATATCGGAAAGGCTGCAGTCTCCCAAGAGAAGCCTGTACCTGTTGCGCCTATTGCATCAGTCTCTGTGCGTGATTGAGGGATCGGCAATACGGCACGATCCCGACTTTTAATGCTTCAGATACCCATTCTCGTAAGACCATTGCTGTTTGGTTAGTTCATGTCTGTGCTTGGTCACTCTGGGCCTAAGCAACTGAGACCTCTGAATCCGCAGCAGATATAGATGGTCTTGTGGACATGTTTAATTTTGTGTTTCCCTTTCCCTTGTGTTGGTTCCGACCGTTGGTATAAATAATGCGTCTAGGATTGGATAATGATGGTGCCTGTTGCCTCGACAATGGGCGGGGTCAGTCTGTATTTAGTTGGCCGTCGATAATGAAATGTTGACGATAATGCTGTCCACTCTATCGTATGAGCATCACACCGGTCATCCACTCGAGTCATTGCGCCGTTGCAGCCTTATGAGTTAGTGCCATCGAGCAATAGGCCCAGACCATATCAGTGGCCATACACAACCCTTAGCATGAGCTAAAAAGCATTGGCAATGCCGGTAGTTGTCGACAACATGCAGCATAGTCCCAACTTGCAACAAAATGCCTCTTCAGTAATCATCTGAACGCAACGTCAGCCAAAACATCTCATACATCAGAGCACAGGAGCATAGGGAAACCTACCACCAACGCAGACCAACCTTAGTAGTCAACGTTAGTATAACTCGGTTAGTATACGGAGCACCTCAGTATGAACAATAGTAATCGAGTCCAGTCACACCCATCAGCGGAGGTCATTGACGGACTCGCAGCAGCCGCAGCACGACAGTAACAACAAAAAAGAAAGAACAAACAGAAACTCGGGCTGAAACTGGGCACCGCAACTATATGTAACCTGCCTCGAGGCATTTTTCTTCGGTGAGTAGGGGGGTGGCCAGGTGGGTCAGGACTCAGTAGTTCGGTGATTTCTCGGTTTTCGCTGGTTGACGTTACTGACTCGAACTTTTGCACGCCTTTGGTTTTGGAATTGAATTTTATTGTTGTGTCGCTGCCATACATACATACATATATTCTTGATTATTGGTATATTGTCAGTGAGAGGACTTCTGACTTCAGTTGTTGCGGATGTTGCTACCTTGTCGTAAAAATGATCGACGTGAGAGATATACGGTCAATTCTCGGTGCGGCCCAAACTCGGTTTTTAGGCCGTGACCGAGTTATACCCGATATGATGGGCAGGGGAATGGACGGGATGTGCGTCATGCGTGTCAGCCGTTACTGTTGACTCGGGATGTGCTTTATTGATAGTACGGCCTCCTTCGGGTTCCGACCCTGGCTAGGCCTGGCTAGACGATCGGGATGTCGGTTGAAAGGAGGACTTGATCCCTGTCGGCTTCTCCCCTCGCTTCTCCCTTGTGTCGGCTTATATTTAGTTTTGCTTCGGGGTGAGGTATATATTGCGAGTGCCTGCTGATGTATATGTGAGAGGTCTACGGACGAGTGAAGAAGATGACATATGTCCAGCCAATGTATTCGTCAATCATGCGGTATATACCATATCTCATTATTGTATCATACATTAGGGTCCGTTGTATTAACATAGGTTCAACCGACTGGCGTCGGTATCAATGTGAATCTCGTCCCACAACTCGCGCAGTGGAGTCAGGTAGCAGCGATCCACGTAAAAGTATCCCAGCAGAAGCTCTCGCAGTTCCTGCCAGGAGCGGAATCCCAGGTTCCTCACGGCCGTGGTCAATTCAGTCATGAAGAACGTGTGCTCGCGGGCCAAGAGTCGGGAGCTGCAAGCCCCCACAAACAGGAGCCAGATCAATAATTCCCGACACAGGTTGAAGTATCCGGCCGGGATCGTCGTTTCAAGTGCGATTCGAAGTCCGACAATCGGTTTCGAAAACACCGGACCCATCGCCGGGTAGAATTCCCATATGGTACTGTTGTGGAACAGCAAGCACGCCAGCCGGACGCAACCCTCAATCGTTGCGTCCCCCTTTGCTTCACCGGTCGCCGTGTATCGGTCAGTGTGCAGGGCATACTCGACGTAGAGCACTTCTGTATTGAAGTAATCCTCCGTTTCGTCGTCAAAGCTCTGCGACGACTTTGGATCGCCCTTGATCCACTCCGCATACCAAATAAGTTCAGTCAGGTCGTATATCGCCTTGGACATGGCATCACCAAAGACGCCGGGTATCTCAATCAACTGAATCAAACACGATGCAGTCCTAGCATGATCTTTACTAGGCGGTATAAGCGTAAGCCCAGAGGGACGAGCGTAGCGGACGAAAGGGAAGATCGGCTTTGTGAAGGCCATGCACGCCACTCGAATGTCGGTCCTAGTTCGGGTTAATCACGCGCCTCAGGGGCCCAAAACCTTCGCTCGGCTCGACTCACCATGATATTTGAAAGCGGACATCCGGTGGCACATCAGCAAAGCTATTTCTCATAGCAACCATCTGTCTTAGCCCCGCCAGATGAATTTTCAAGTAATCCGGATTTCCCGACGCAATCTTTTTTTCGTCAGCAGGGCCGGGAAGGCAGGAACAATGGGCCATATCATACCTCGATCGTGAGTAGGATCGACACCGCAGCAATGAGTTCATCGCTAGAGGCTTTAAGCGGGTCCGATAAGCTCTCGTTGACCAAACGGATCGTCTCTCCACGATGGTGGAAGGTGTCCAAAATCAACGGGCTCGTCCGCGCTTTGGCGGGGTCAACCAGTGGAAACTCCCCGGACTCCAAGGCGGCATTAGATGCAGCGACGCAGATACAGGCATGTAACGAAGCCGGATCATGCTGGACCAGGGCCGCCCAATGAGCCTGTAACCGCGGCGCAAATCGTCGCTGCAACGGATACGCCAATCGGGTCAAATTGCACAAAACTGAAATCGGCTGTTAACAAGAAATTATCATCCTCGGTTTGGACAAGTTGGCTTACAGTGTTGCAGATGTCGGTACATCCTGTCCGAGAGAGGCGTATGCAAAGTATTGAAGGGATCTTTCCCTCCTTGGCCTAATCCATCCCATGGGGGAGAGGACCTTGATTGTACACGACCAACTGTTTGAGTCTGCGAAGGTGCACTGACGCTGTAGCTGTCGACGTTGCCGATCCTCTTCGTGACAACAAGCTCAAACTGTCCCTCCTCTTCTTTGATCTGCGGCTGACCTTGATCGTGTTCCTGTTTGGCCTGTTGGTGATGCTGTGTAGAGGAGATGGTGGGTGAAGAGGAGGAAGTATTGTGTTCGAATGCCGAAGACGACGAGGCCGAACTCGGGGCAGCCGCTGACGCCGCGGTTGTGCTGGAGGAATTGGAGCTGGTGGTCTCAACGGGCTGAAACGCAAGATGCTTCCAGGTCTTGCTCTTGTAACGCTTAGTGTTCTCCAATCTCTTCTTGCGATTGTGCTCTGACATCACATGGGAGCGAATACGTTTCAGAGTCTCTTCTCGCGTTCCTTCTGAGACCGACTGCGGATCGGTATGGACCCAGAACAACGTTGACCGGCCATTGGACGCATTGGTGGTTTTGCGAGTCTTGCGAAGCTTCGATGGGGCGCCCTTGCCTACATCTTGACGATTTTTCGAATCCGAGTCGGCGGAGCGCGGTGCTGCAGCTGCAGATTCGTCGGTGTTGTGTGATAAGGAGGACGACGAGGGAGCGATAGCAGGAACAGTAGTTGTCAAAGCCGATGAGACGGCAGGAGGATGGTGATGGAGAAATTGAGGTTGTTGCTGTTGGTGATGATGATGAGGATGATTATAATTATTAAAGATTGTACCGCCAGAAGTAGTCGAAGTAGTTGTAATGGCGGCGGAATCCCAAGCAGCTGGTTTACCTAGCATGGGTAAGACCTGCTCGTGGCCACGGGCAGGAGAACATGCCGTTGGCTGGATATTGGGGTTCTTGGCATCCATCGGACTTCAATCAGCAATCACAGTATTTGCTGATGATCCTCATGTGTATTATTCATTGTTTCTAGAGTTGGCAAGAGGGGACAAGAATTGGAGGAAATGGGTTGGATAGTGACAAGGTGAAATGGACAGGGTACCCAGAGCCAAGGGAAATGCTGAATGGTCAGCACACTGCCCCTATCAGGAAAAGCCCATCATTTATTTTCTTATGTTGGACTGGGCATGAAAATTAGGACGCGGACTTTTGACCTGCACTATATTGGTGAGAATAATAGCAATAATATATGTCAGAGGAGCAGGACTGCAGAAAGCAGCCAGCGATGGAGTTGTAGGCTAGTAGTAGTAAGAAGTGACAAGACAAGAGTTGTCACTTGTTAGGGCGGTGGATGTGTCGACAGAAGAGGGGGAGGGGACAGCGCGATTATTCCGTACAGGCAGACAGATTGGGGTCATTCTTGTCTCCGTTTCGTTTTTATTTTCAATTTTTTTAGTTGGTATTTTGTCTTTTTACCTTTTTCCCTTTATTCATTTTTATTTTTATTTTCCTCCGGCTCAAGCTTACTCTCCCTTGATTGAAGTTGTGATTTCAATTGCGGACAACCACAATGATAATGGAACAATTTTTGGCTAAAAAGTCCTGTATCAACCCATAACCGATGGCGTGGGTCTCCAGTACTTCTACGGAACAGCGCAGAGGACTACCCCGAAGAACTTGAAGAAAAAAAAAAGTGGTGACTCTGATAAGAAGAGTCGAAAACACGAGGCCAGATCCCGGATGCTGTTGCTGCCGAAGACCGAGTGGAGCCCTGCACCGGTATTGATGTTACGGGAGAAGTCACTATAACCGACTGGATGTGGGATATCGGATCTCGGTATTAATATTATGAATAGGTATGAAATATGAAATTGTACGACCGACACATAAGCCAATCTTAAGTGTCTAAAGGAAGAGCAGAATCATCTCCCACAACATGTGCTCTGCATTATTACTCCCTCCCTGAATTGACTCGGCATTGAACCTTGTTATCTTGCCATGGGGAGTGAACATATGTACTTGAGTTCTCAAGCGCTGTCATTCTTCGAGCTTCATGTCAAAATAATCCGACTCCACAGTCCACATGTTTTTGTTTGCGTTCGATCGGACATATCCTCGATTCATCGTAGTAGCCTATCTTGTAGGTTATTTACCATGTGTTTTCCAATCCCCTTGCGGCCCGCATGGTTGATATATCGGAGCCTCCCAGAAATCCAGCTTGAAAACGATCAGCCTACAATATCAGGCAGAGTATTACACTGCTGACTCCCTCCTACGATTGTCAACTGTTTGATATCTACGCTTTAGTCAGTTCATCTTTATGACACAGTGCACTGTGCTGGACACATGGCTCGAGAGTCCCAACCATCTCCAAGCCAAGCACTAAGGATTGATTAAAGCAAATTCCATAATACATTTGAGGTCCATTGTTTTGATAGTGCACAGTAGGAGTTTGAGGGTCCCAAGTCTCCGTTATGTTTCCCAACGTGTACAGATGACCTCTCATATTTGGACGGTTAAATCTCCCTTGTTGGCGCTTCCTGGAGTCTCGAACCGAATTCTACATTCCAACTCTGTGGGTACGTGACTCCTTGGCCTTTGAGCGCGTTGTGCCTGCTCTTATGGTTCTGAGTACTATATGGAGTATCAACTCAGTATCTGGTCTAGCGGTACAACGAAGCAGGGATAGAATACAGACACCTGCATCGTCGCCGCTATGATATACCAGATGCAGGACTCGACATCCCCTGCATTCAACGTTGCCATCAATTGCCCCATCTCAGCCGCACCAACAGGTGGAAAACTTGGAATTGCTGCATGGCCATGAGCCAGTTGCAGGATCGTTGATCTGACCGCAGAATCCCACCGTCAATTCGATACCTTACAAGGTAGATACTCCGTAGACTAGGCTCTCCTTTACTGTCCGCTCGGTTAGATCTGACTGCATTGGAGAGCCAGGGCCGTGTAGACTGTAGACTCGCGGCCATGACGCCTGTCTGCAGCGTATCCAGATACCTGAAGAAGAAAATCCGGTTCTGCGTGTGGGCCAGGAAGCGCATACGAAATACGGAGTGAGGTCCTTGCTTCTTTTGCTCCCTTGCTTCGTTGCTCCACCCGTCTCGACAGTCGACACGGGCTAGCGGCGGCCAACTGTTGAAACTTGGAACGTCTCGGACAATCTAATAGTAAGACGACCTCGTATCGTATAACTGTCCACCATCCGCAACTCTTTTCCGAACAGATGCGTTGGGAACCGCTAATGCGACCGGCTTGAAGTAGCTCTTAGGGCGATACCGTTGGAACACCAGGGCAAAGGTGTCCCCCATAAACTGGCGATCATTGGTAATGAGTGGATGGTATATGTTGGCGTTTGCATACCAGAGAGCTTTTCCTTGGAATTGGATCCAATAGCACGAAAGTTAGAATTGTACCAGGAATACGGTCGGCCCATTGATAGGTAGGTACCTACCTAGTTATGGTGTGATTCTGAGTATCGTGAATCTAGGGACTACATGCTTCTGATTGTAAACGTTCTAGGTAGAGATGCCTTTTTGTCCCAATATACTGGGGCCAATACCAAACCAAACACATATCGGGGCTTTCACAAACCGCATACTCTAACCTTTACCGTACCAACATAACATATATATCCTCCTCAATTATCTGCTATGCGCTGCGTGTCTTAACGAGAAAATGCGCCCGCGCTGCGGACTCGCTCAATGATAAAAACACCAGAAGCCTTGATGCACGAACGGACAAGAAATACAGGTATATGGTAATCAGCAGAAACACGGACGCATAAAGACACAGAAACAAATGATAAGATACGCTATGTCCCGGTCAGCCATCTAGACTTCACTTCCGGTGAGTATGTATGTGGACAACCTGCTATTGCTAGGCCATCCCGGGCCGTGGAAAGACTGGCATTGTTTCCAACTGTTCGAGTCCCCCCATGGTACCCTGTTGACCACCGACATGCCAGCCCTGGCCGGTTGGTTGGTTCACAAAGGCACTCTGTCGGAAGGGATTCGTGCTTCCGGTTGGGTTCGGTCGTAAGGGTGCTGCGGCTGGAGGCTGCAGCCCTTGACTCTGCTGGGGAGGAACAGAGGAGCTCCGAGCAAAGGGATTCGTTCCCGTTCGGTGAGGCTGAAGTGGTTGCTGCGCTGGACTCTGAGGAGTCGCCTCAGTAGGACCTGAAGTGGAATGTGGATTCACCGTCGATAGGCGTCTGGCAAAAGGGTTCGTGTTTTGGCGGCTCAACGGAGACGCCGGCACAGCAGTCCCTGTTGGTGTGCTCATCAACATTGACTGCCTGAAGGGATTGGTTGATTGTTGTTGCGGTTGCTGCTGAATACCCAGTGCGGGTGGTTGCTGCTGAGAAAATGACGCGACACCGCTTTGCGGTATGGGGCTAAGATGGGTTTGGAATCCGTATGTCTGCGGCTGTGCTGAGTAGCCGCCGAATCCAGCCCCGGTTGGGGTAGACTGGAGTGGTTGCGGGGCTTGCGCTTGTCCAAATTGGTTATTATTCTGCTGAGGAAAGGGTTCTCCAAAGCCGGTTGGCTGACCAAAAGGGACGCCTTGAGGCTGTTGCTGGAAACCCGTCTGCTGGGTATAGAACCCTGTCTGCTGCGGCTGTAGGCCCGTTGGCTGGAACGGCATGGTTTGCTGTTGCTGCTGTGCTTGGTACGGTTGCTGGAAAGTTGTTGGTTGAGCTGTAGGCTGCGGATTGGGCTCGATAGGTTCAAAGAAGTCAATCAAGTCCGCAGGATTTGTTTTCTTCTGCGGGTTCGGTTCTGTTTGTGGGCGGCTCGGGGCGGAACCTATATTACTGGTATTCTGAGGGACCCCAGTAATACTGGACTTCAACGCAGTGTTTGCTCCACCATCCTTTGCGCCTTTCCGAGCCAGGTACTCCCTTCGGCGAAGGTTGAAATCCGGATCATTGAGATCATCTTCAAGAAGGCGCGTCAAATCCGTTGAAGCGTGTTTCAGTTTGGGTATTTCCAACCTGGTTGCGGATTGAAAGTGCCTAGCGACACCTAGGAACTTTACAACCTCCTCCGTTTGCGCGGTGAAGGTTTTGTAGATCTCTAGAGCGCGCTCGCTATCCGGTCTCGACATCTCAAAATAATGCTCTAATGGCCAATCACGTCAATACAGTCACAAAAATGTCGGGAAAAGGAACCTACCTAGGACATTTATTGTACCTTCATTCATGACCGAGTATAGAGTCAGGAGATCCAATGTAAGCAACCGGAAGGCCGTGAGCGTGATTTCATTCTCCACTTCATCTGTCAGAAGCTGATGGCGAACTGTCAGTCACAGGTGTAGCACCGGTCACAGTAAGGTGAAGACCCACGTCGCAGCGTAACAAAGCTTTGATCTGCTTCTGAACAATCTCTGTTTCTCTCAGGAGACCCTTTTCGACTGTCAATCGCTTCATCCGTCCTTGTCCGCTCCGAACGTAGTCTGTCTTTGTAGCTTCGAACGCTTTTGCGCGCGCCATAAGGTAATCGGCATATCTTCGGATGTTATGCCCTTGTGATTGTACTACAGGCAGGAGCCATCAGCATTGGACACGCACGTTCGTCAGATGCCTCCATTCATTCAAACCCAGCTTGCACACTAACCTTCCGAGTATCCGCTGATTGCTAACTTGGTTGGGTTCTCCGCCATGTATTGTAAAGTGGCATCCAATTGCCCCTCTCGTATCATAAGATGGACGACAATTAGCGCCTTGAACACAATAGTCCATGTTGAATCGCGCAGTCGAAGTTGCAGTGTCCGGAATATCTCTGCAACACCAGCCTCGCCCGTATGGGTCGCAACCAGAATGTGTTCGATGTATTTTGATTTAGGAGCCGCAAGCTGTCCATCGAGAAACGTATCAGTGACCATCCAAGATAGTATTGGCAATAAATTGACTAACCTTGACCTTGGTAGCTCCCTTCACGGATTTCTCAAAATTTTGAGACATTGTCAGCAATGGTTAGGTGCCGAACTTGGGTAGTAATAAGAATCAGGGGACCGTCGCGATGGCCCCAATAGCGGGACTTGCTGGGACTTCAGAACCGTGCCTGCGGAGCGAAGAGGTATTGCCTGTTGTATCTGAACGGGGTCTAGATCGACATGTGTACATGAGCACCAATTTTGATCATGATGGTTCAAGAAGCCATGCTGCGGAGCCACTGGTTCTCACGGAGTAGTCAGGAACAGAGATAAGAGGCCACTAGTCCCAAGGCCTTCAATCGAGGTTGAAATGGCGGAATGATAAAAACTAGAGGGTATTAAATTGCACGGATTGATGGTGCTGGTGGTTGATTACTGCAAGAGCTTGAGCTCGTTGGCTCGGTGGTGGTTGGTAGACGGAATGAGTCGCGGTGGAGCTCCTGGCTTAGATGATGATTTTCCGGCTACTCCAACATGACTAGCGTTGGCACGAGTATCAGGTCAATGTCTGTGACGCAGTTTGATAACCACCAGTATACCAATCAATAGTTAAAGCTTGAGCTCGCTCTCAATCATTATTTCACTCTGGCAATGAACGCACTTTATGGACATCTAAATTCACTTGATCAACTTAAAAGTTTCCAACAAATATAGTTTCGCGATGTACGGAGAGGTACAGTTCTGCAATATAAATATCTTCATCAGTGAATATATTCTCATGACACTGACAGAAACCATGCAACCGTTGATGCTCGTGTCTTAGTGCCTTGATCACAATTGAGCAAGTCACTGTTCATTCACTTCCTTCTTTTAGAGTGAGGCGTTACTTAAACATAGGAAATGGCAGTGGGCAAGGGAGGCGAGACCTCTCCTCCAGCATTTGTCCCGTACCTCGACTGAAGCTCAACACTTCTTGGTTTAGAGTAAATGCATTAGCCTCTTCTGATCTGCCTCTCACGGATATGGAATCTTTGACCACCTCATGACCATCAATTGAAGCCACCTCTCTGTCAAATGGCGTTGTGCCATCTCAGACGGCTGTCCCAGTCTCTTTACAAATTCTCTGTGACTACGAAGTACTCTTTACTACAAACCTCACTACGGCCGTCAGTCTAGCCTCTGCCTTGTGTTGGTCCTCTCTCTTCACCATCTCACTCTCGAGTCATCTTTGCGGAATACCTTCATTGTGTTGGTTCCTACTGTCTTACACTCGACTACTCTCTCACCATCTTACACAATATTCCACCTACGTGGCCTCCATTATCTCACTATACCTCTACTGTGCGTTCCTCCTAAAGATCCCAGTGGACACCTGAAAGTCAGCCTTCAAAATGCAGCTCGACTTCTCGATCAGAGTTCCCCGAGTGCCGTGGAATGCTGACAAAAGAATATTCCTATGCTGTCTCCACAAAATTTTTGAGAGGGACAGTGCTGCGTTCAAGGAAATCTTCAATGCTAAATACAGAAGGGACTTAGAGAACAGTGGCTTCACTGATGGGAGAACTTCTAGCTCAACATTGGACAGTCAATGGGGGGACATGAGGCGACTAGGGGATCCTATTTGGGGCCGTGTCCATAAGGCTCCTCTCAACCACGGCGATTTGCTACCAGTCAAAGACATGATCATCGATGTTGCTCGATCACTTGGAGTTTCGCTCGTTGAGAAGGAAATCGATGACATAGACACGTCAGGGTACCGCGCAAGGACCGCTAAATCTGGCAGGACCACTGCTTCCGACCCAGCTGCTCTAACCTCAAGTTCTGTAAGTTAGATGATGAATGTTCGAGGGAAGTTTACTAAACATGGACAGGAGAACTCTACACCCCACTCAGCTACTTTTGTTCATCACCAAAATACCTCGTCAGGATGCCATAATCCCAGTGTAAACGTCTTGCAATCATCAGCACAGCCCCTGACCACGCATGGTGGAAAGGTCTGCTGGTGGTGCTTAGACCAAGAAGACGACGCAGCTGAACCTAATGTATGCGGGCGAGAAGCATATGCAAGTAATGGTAGCTAATGTGGGCAACAGACATCTTTGACATCTCCACGAAGTGATTACCTACCGCCGCTTCTGTATAGATGGTCGAACGCAGATTCACAGGGCATCAATACTCCAAAGCGATATATCGCTGGGTTATTTGCTGACTCTGAGGTCAGCCCCTTCCTTCCTGAACACATTGCCCCGGAAAAATTCAACGGTTATGTCCTGAATCATGTCAGCATCGCAAGCCATCCAAGCCCCTTCATTTCGACATTTCAGTCAATTCTAGCCCCGATCCACCGAGCAATATGGGGGAAGGAAGGGGCTAGGGTCTCCATCATCGATACAAGGAAGCTTACAGGCCCGGTGTACTTCGCCAAATCCCTTGTACAGCAGAACAAGATCCGAATCCCGGGCTACAGTGGCGTAGGAGAGTATCTTATATGGGGAGAGATCCAAACGCCTGCGATAATTTGCTCATTCAAGATCACTACAATCATCCAGATTGCGCAAGAGAATGAAGATATCGGCAGAATCCTGCAACTTGACAAAATCGCCTCCTATAAACGTGTTCGGGGAAAGCTACGGACAGTTCTTTCGAAGGAGACCGACAGTATGAATTTGGATCATGCTTCTGGTGTCAGCTTGGGTAAATTACTCCAACTGATCAATGTGCCCCAGGCATATTCTCAGATGGTTGGCGAGGGCATCCTCAGGTCATGGCAACTACGGAAGCAGGGAGACTGGCAGGAATTTCGCCAAGGGCTTGAAGTTGGGTTTTTCACCCGGTTACGTCAAACATCCTCCATTTCATACCTAGTCAACCTGGATGTAACGCCAGCTGGAAGAGCTCTGGCCAGGGGAATTGGAACAGATTATCTTGTTCAGCATGACACCGTTGTGCATGAAGAAGAGGAAGAGAGATTCGAAGAGATAGAAGAAGACGACGAAGATGATGATGACGACGTCCGGTCCATCTTTGACACGCCATGTCCAGTTCGGCTGGCCCACTCGATTTCATCTATCACGCCCCCGGAGACTCGGCCCGTCACTCGAATTGAGCTTTACAACCCCGCCACTGGTAACTGGTCTCTGGCTCAAGAATCTCAGCAATCAAGTCCTACAGAAGCTGAGTCTTTCTCTCCGCAATCCAGCGTGATTGTCTTGGATGACTTCGAAGAAGAAATTGAAGAGCTTGGGGATATGATCATGGGGGAGGATATCTCTGATCTGGGTACAGCTGAGCATCCACCCACGGATCAATTCGCTTCAGATCGCGAAAGGATTAGGCGTTTCCTAAAGTGAGACTTCGCCAAGGCCTCTCAGGATGGACCCTACTTTGCAAGCAAATGCATGTCAAATGACCTTTTAGAGGAGGGGATAATTTCTATGTCTCGTCTGATAGGCCTTCATCGGCAGGTGTACCCTTTTCGCTGAAGGTTCGATCATTATTTTACAGTGTTAGCCAGTGGGTGTCGTTGCGCACTTATACTGTCTTCGTGATACCACTGCGATTTCTGTGCTCGAGATGAGGTCTGTTAGATGAACCAGAAGGCCGTTTTCAAAGGAGCAGAGTGAAGGACACAAAGCCAATGTATCATCTACGCCCCTTTCGCCGTTAGATACGAGCACAGAATAGATCAGATTCTAAGTCATGACAAGAAAATTCCATTCCCAAAGCCGCCATGCGTGATAATCCCTTATTCCGTGGTCTGCTGTAGATATTGTATGTAACACAGGAGGATCAAATTTTTTTGTATTGGATATTTCCTGCAGGAGGGTACCTGGGACATAGAATCGTTAAAACAATCCCAACCCGCCAGATCATTTCGCTTATATCCAGTCACGCCGCTGCCCTAGGTTTTATTTTCCGTGTGAACACCCCCTTCATCCATTATCGACGTTTAGAACTTGTTGAACGACTTGACGGCCTTGCCGGTACGGGGCAGGACACGCAGGACGTTGAAGCGGACCTATTAGATTAAAAGTTAGCCATGATTGATTCTGAGGTTGGATTGACGACCGCTCCATGAACATGATAATTTCCATTCAGCATCAACTGCTGCCGGAGAATATCGCGCGGAGTCGTTGCTTGGAGGATTCCACATACAGTCTTGCTCAGAGGACGGCACTGGCCGACGGTGACCCAGTCACCCTCCTCAACACGGAAAGCGGGAGAGACGTGAGCGGCAAGGTTCTTGTGTCTCTTCTCGTAACGGTTGTACTTGGGGACGTAGTGGAGGTATTCACGGCGGATGATGATGGTACGGTGCATCTTGGTAGAGACGACACGGCCGGTCAGGATACGACCACGGATGGAGACCATACCGGTGAAGGGGCACTTCTTGTCTGTTTCGAATTAGCGATCTGAATATATTCCTCGACGCCTAGCCAACAGGATTTGATCCCGGGTTTGGGAGATGAGGAATTCGAGACTCCGCGATAAAGGCCACGGCACTGGATTTCGGTACGAAACCAGTCGCGCAATCGTCCCTTTCTGATGCCTCCTCTTTCCAGATTTTCTGCGCCATAATTCTTATGATTGCCTTTTGGAATCCCGTGCGGTTTCCTCATCCCCAAAACCCATGTAATCGTAGCCTCTGTCTCCGAGTCTAAAATCCGATGTCGCCGGCAAAATCTCAGAGTAGGTCGCTCATACCGATGTAGCTGCCCTCAATGGCAGTCTTGGGAGTACGGAATCCCAGACCGACATCCTTGTACCATCTCCGGGTCTGGCCGACCTTCTTGCTCTTCGCCTTGGTCTTGGAGTTGAGGAAGATGTGAGGCTGCTTCTGGAACGCACGTTCCGACTGGACGGTCAACTCGGTAGCCATTTTTGCGAGAATTCAGGTCGACGAGGAAGCGAAGTCGAGCTGGATATAAAATTCGTCGCGAAGGGGGGTGTCGGGTCGGGGCGGTGGTCGACGTCGATGTTGAGGAAGATTTATTCGACGATGGTTCGATATTCCGTGGTGTGAGTGTGCGATGAGGGCACTAGCCTAAATATGGAATGGCGCGCTTCGGCTAGGGCTTTTTTGGTTTGTTTACATCGGGGTGATCACATGAGCGGCGGCCGGCAGACGCGCTTGTTGATGTATGTCGTAGTTTGTTGACGGGGTCGGATTGATGATGCTACTTTTCCGTTGAGAACGATCGCAATTCACATAGATTGAGGTAGAAACCCATCTCTGATCAGCAATCTTGGAAATCGCCTAGACATTTTCTTGTCTATGTTCTTCTTCACCTGCCCTCATGGCGTCCAGAGGTGACTCCGCGGGGTCGGGTCGTCCGCGATCTCGCCGTTCCATCGCCCATGTGCCTCGTTCGAGATTGACGTCTGGGTTAGATAAAGAGAATGTCACAACAGATATAGGTGCGGCTCAAAGTCATGATGGCTTTGCGAAACGTGCGGGAAAAGATAAAAAGTCCCGCAGTAAGAGCTTAGGACCTGGTGGTTTGGATGCGCTTCAGGATTCAAATGGCAATCGGCGCAAGGTACTTCCTGGCCGCTCAAAAGGCCGCTCAAAATTGTTTCTTTTGTAAGGCATGATATTGACTGAAGTATCATTTAGTCTACCATGGCTTTTCCGCTCAAATCTATTCTCAAACCGACAATTCCTGTCTCTCCCGTTCGAAACATTCCGTCTTTCGAAGAAACGCGCAAACAAACTCCAGCGCGCGGCGCACAACAGGACGGTGTCCATGGCGGTAGTAAAGATCAAGGGGAAGAAGATCTATTGGTAGACGTTGATAATCCCGCGCAACCGTCAGCGTCTGGCCCAGAAGATCCAGCCAATCCCTTCGATAGCTTCAATGCGTCCTCTGCGATCGCCGCCGCGAGGGAACAGGAGGAGAAGGAGAGGAGAGAGCGTGAGCGTCAGATTATACTGGAAAAACGAGAAGCGCGCCGGAAATCGATGGGTTGGTCAATGTCTTTCCCAGGAAACCTACCGTTGGCTAACACTTGTCTGCGCAAAGCGAACCGCCGCGTTTCTTTCGCTCCGGAGGCGACACTACACACGTGGAACGTCGTCGAAATCCCCGATGATTCGACTTCCTCATCTGCTTCTAACTCCACCCGTCGTGCTTCGTCCCTCGCTGAGAACCAAGCGCCGACACAAGCATCAAATCAGAGAGAACCCCCGTCCACACCTGACACTGTAGCGGAATCAGACATTGCGTTTTCTCCGGTGGAGTATCCGGACCTGCAAGAGCTCAGGAACCGTTCGACCACAGCGTACGATGAACCTGCAATCTCGCAAGATCTGTCGTCCAGTCCATTCAGCGGAGGCTCTGCAGACGGCTTGGAGGATACTGGCCTTCAAGACGTTGTAAGGGAAGATGACGATGACGACGATGATGACAGTTCCTCAGGCTCTGGATTTGATGGGGAGAGTACCGCGATGAGTATGGACAACATGTCTGTTCATTCAGCTGCGAGTGTCCGTTCAGATCGGTCGGGCTCCAGTACCAGTTCCAGCGCCCGCCTGAACGAGGCCCTACGCCAAGCAGCTAGAGAAGCTGGAACGAGAGGCATTGACTACGATGAGGATGGGGAGATGTCAATGGAAATCGCTGACCAAGAAATCACTGGCGCTTTCCAGCCTTGGATCAAAAAGGGCCAAAGGCAAAGTTTTGAATGGGAGGATATCAGCGCTTTGCATGACCAAGAGAATATCAATCCATCGCACAGCTCAATCCAGTCATCGACTGGTCCCGATGGTTCCGCCGATATCGCGGACGAAGACCTCAGCATGGAGGTAACGAATGCAATTGGGCGTATCATCCAGCCAAGTCGTCGCCAGAGCACCGTCCGGCGCAAGTCAACGAGCGAAGAGACAAACTATGATGAGCAAACAATGGAATTCACAAATGTGATTGGCGGCATTAAACAATCTGCATCTCCCACCAGATCCGCAGGCGGCGAAAGTAATGCTAGCGACGAGGAGATGACAATGGAATTCACCTCCGTTGTAGGAGGTGTGCTCAACAAACCAGTTCAGTCTCAACATGCTGAGGAAGCAAATACCACTGGGTGGAACGATGAGGATGATGGTGGCAGCATGGAAGACGATGCAGACATGGAGATGACAGGGGCAGTTGGTGGCATTCTTTCAGCAACCGGGACTCGAGATGGGCAGGACGAAGACCAAACGGCTGGAATGGAGCTCACAACCGCCATGGGACGAATTTTGCCAACAACTGTCGACGAAAACCAGGAAAGGGGAGACGCGAATTCAGAGTCGGAGAATGAACAAGCGGGAAGTTCTCCCTTCCAGGAGAATGTTCGGCAGTCCCCTTCAAAATCTCCAGTTTCTTTCCACTTGGCTGCTGTCGCCTCCGAAAGTGGAAGCCCCAGCTTAGCCAGTGTCAGACCTCGATCAACCAGGCAAAGCCTGAGCCGTCGAATGTCGAACACGCCTTCGGCACACTCACCACACCAATCACCAGTGAAGAACACATTGACTTCGCCAAAGGACTCAACACCCCAAGCCAGTCAATCCATGACGCCCAGCAAGACTCCTTTGAGCACGACAAATAACCGAAGTGCATCGCCGAGGAAGCTTTTTCAGTCTGAGACCCGCCGTTCTGCCAGCAAGGATAAATCCCCTGGCCGCAAAAGTCTCTTTGGATCTACTGCGGTGACCGGTGAAGCCGTTCCCCTTTTTGTATTACGCCCTCATGAGAAACGGCGTTCATCCGGTCTGGGGATCGACAAAGAAGGCCTAGGCTCGCCTCGTGTGGCTGCTATGCTTGATGAAAGACGGTCAATCGGAGAGGAGGCTCCACGCTTCGTTCCTCAGGAGCAGTCCCAATCGGGTGTGCGCTTTGAGGACCCTGTGAAACTGCAAGAAGAAGTCGACATGGAGCGTGAAGAAGAGGAGAAGCGGGAGGACGGTCATATTCCCCCGCTGCAGTTGGATCCTACGGCGAATTTAAAGGATATGATTTCGAGCCTCACACCAAAGAAGAACAAGCTTCGCGGCCGCAAGAGCTTACACGTGGGTGCTGCCCGAGGATTATTGGGCAAGCGACCCGTAGAGCTAGATCAGGATGACGAAGAGGGCGCCGATAATACTCCTAAGCGCTTGAAGGGTCGCAACGCTAGCCCAGTGAAGAGCATTAAACTTCCAGCACCGCCGACAAAGGACGAAACGGTCGGACATTTGAAGCGCTCACCCACTCGTAAATCTGTTATTGCACCACCCACTGAAGGTAGCACGACTCCAAGTCAGGAGCCGAAGACCAGCTCCTTGTCGCTTACCCCGGCAAAAGACGTATCAGAGTCTTTCAACTCCAGTACA